CTTATCTATTGAGCTGCAGCTGTATGGCAGGCTGTCAATACTAATAAGCAGATATACAATAACATTGAACAGATACCATTTTAGAAAATTGTGGCATGTCACTGTGCCTATAACAGGGGTTGGCAACCTTCGGCACTCCAGATGTTGTGGACTACATCCCCCATAATGCTCTTACACCCATAATGCTGGCAAAGCATCATGGGAGGTGTAATCTGGGTGTCTGTAGTGGTCCTTTAAGTGTGTGTGCATCTGCATGCACTGGCGTACATACCGCGGTCGTATCTCTAAACCACAATGAATGTCATTCTAATTCTGTTCATATATATGTTTAACCCCTTAAGGATGGAGGCAATTGTACAAGTTTTGATCAAATCAAAATGTAAACAAAACCTTTAATTTGCGCAATCTGTCTGTTTAACCTTAATTCACCTCTTATATTAAATGCTTATATAAATAAACCCACACAGGGCTTTCATTTCACATCAAACATTTAGATATGAAACATAATTTTATAGGAATAAAAACTGAAAAAGTGTGAGAAATTTTTCACACTTTGAATAACTGGCATAACAAATGTTATTTTAACTGTGAAAGTCATAATACTGTTAGCTTTTACTGCAGTAAAATACACATATTTGAGTTTGGCTATCTCTTACAAGTACAACAGTACCCTCCATGTAGAGATTTTGTGGTGTTTTGGCAAGTTGCAAATATAGGGCTTTCACCTTTCCACTTATTACACAATGAAATGTGCTAGATTGGCTATGTTGTCTTTGAGATTGTATAGCTGCCCAGAAATGAAATATTCCTCCCACCATGGCATACCATTTGAAAAGGTACAGAACCGTGGTATTTAAAATGGGGTATGTCCAATCTTTCTTAGTAGCCACTTAGTCACAAACAATTGCTATATTTAGCTTTCATTTTAGTTGTTTTTTTTGCATTTCTTTTACAAATAAACTGCCTTTTCACCGATATCATCAACATTATATGTTTTATTGCTCTAAAACACTCATATTTGTGTTCAGTAATGTCTCACGAGTACAACAGTACAACTCATGTCCAGATTTTATTTTGTTTTGAAAAGTTACAAGCTCAAATATAAGACTTGTCCCATGGCCCATATCTGTTTTTGCACATTGAGATTTGCCAGCTTCAATTGTTTATGTTGTCTTTGAGACCATATGGCAGCCTAGGAATGATAATTAACCCCAACATGGCATACCATTTGAAGAAGAAGACAACCCAGGGTATTCAAAATGAGGTATGTCCTTTCTTTTTTAGTAGCCACTTAGTCACAAGCCCTATCCAAAGTTAGTGTTCATATTTGATTTTTGCATTTTTTACATAAAAAGTGCACTTTCACTGGTGATATCATCATTGTGATTTTTTTTTTTTTTATTCTTTATTTTTGAGTGCATAGAGAAAAAGCAGTAACAAATGCGTTTGTCAACAGCATGTACTCACGATTTAACAGTTAACATCGGTAAACTAAGGCATGGCATGGAAATACATTGCACAATTTTTTTTTGTATTATGACATGAAGGCTAGTTGTAACTATGGATGGTTATAAGTTGAGAGGAGAAAATGTAAGGAACGACTTCTTATGCTAGTTGTTTAGCATGATACACAGGTTATACATGTTTGATTTTATGTCTAGTAGGGTGCCTGTCAGGCGCAGCTGTCTAAGCACTAACAAGCTATACAGATAAAACAAAATATAAGTGGAGCTCTGGATTACCTGTGTGAACAGTAATATAAAGATATGGAAGACAAATATTGTCAAAAAATCTGTAAATAAATGGTAACAGATCTAAGTGTAGACAATAATTACAAATGAATAGAATAAGAAAAAACTATGAGATGGGTAACTCACAAAGGTGGAGCCAAAAGAACACTTTGGCTCTAGTGGTAAGCGCCTTAGGATCTTCTAGGGGAGATCCACCACCCTCTTTATATTCCTCCTGATGTCTTCCTCCTTACATATGAGTAGGAATGGAATTGCAGACTCCACAGGACGGTGTAAACAAATTTTAATGAGTAAAAGCTTGAACTTTAAAATGTATTATAAAATAAAATAGAAATGAATCAAAATACTCAGAATAATTCCAAAGTATTCCAAAGTACTCCCAAAACGCGTTTCGCCAGTTAAACTGGCTTCCTCAGTTGGTATGTCTGTAGTATATCCTCTTGTTCTTTTATACAAGTCCAAATGATGAAATTGCCGGCATCTGTCGGACCGGAAGTTGGTTCCGTGGAACGCACGCCGCACTAGTTGGAACGCACGTACGTGCGCGCATGCGTGCGTCAATTACGTGCGTGCGCGCGTGCGTCCGTCATAAAGTTATACTGTTCCACTTCCTTTTTCTTCATTGGAACGCACATGCGTTCCACAGCCTTAATCAGTGCGATCAGGTCAATTTACTTCCGCATTCTGCCGTGGAACGCACCATATGTGTTTCATAGTCTTTATAAATTGTAACAAAAGTCTTTAGATCACCAGTCCAAAAAAATCAATAGGGAATAGGAGAGAGAAGCTAATAGATAATAATGTAACATAAAGAGGCAACATCTTTTATATTGATATTGGACAACATTATTACCTCTATCATTTGCAAGATTATAATGGTGTACCCCTAAAAAATATTAATTAAAAATGCTTGCATAAAAAAGGTGGAGGGGTGAGAAGAAACAGTATTAAATGTCATTAACTGTAAAATATTAAATTATTTCTTTATACTATAAAAAATGACATAATTCGAAATCCAAATTTAGTCCATGAGGAACCATGGTATTAAAATTAAAAATAAAGGACATTTCTTCCATTCCAATTTTCTTTATAAAATCTCCACCCCTCCAATTTTTCTTGACCAATTTAAGTGCACAAAACACAAGCCCTTGTGGATTTTGATGATGGTATTGTTTAAAATGTTGGGAAACACTATGTGTATCGACTCCTTTTTTGATGTTTCTCACATGCTCCGAAATTCTAACATGGAGGCATCTAATAGTCCTCCCTATATACATTTTATTGCACGGACAAATTAATAAATAAATAATATTTTTCAAGAAACATGTCAATTGGTCTCTTATTGTGAATTCCTTATTAGTAATTTCTATTATATTCTTTATGTGTCTTTTTTTGCTTATGGTCTCCCTGCATGCTAGGCATGTTCCACACCCATAGAATCCTTTATTCTTTGTTAGGAAGTTCTCATTTTCAGCCTGATGATTATTTAAATTGCTGTTTACTAAGAAATTTTTTATATTTTTACATCCTCTATGGACAATTTTAGGTCTCTCCGGTAATATTTCTTTTAAAATTGGGTCATCTTGTAATAAGTGCCAGCATGCCTTACTTTCTTATTATTGGCTGAAAAATTGCAAATGAAGGGGATATTGTCTTTATTATTCTCTATTCTCGTTTTTTTCTTTTTATATATTAATAATTCCTTCCGTTCTAATATTTTTATTTCTTCTATACTCTTTTGGAGGTCTTCTTCTTCATATCCTTTTTCTAAGAATTGATTTTTAATAATTTGAGTTTGTTGTGAGAAGTCTTCCTCTTTTGTACAATTTCTTTTTAGCCTCATAAACTGGCCCTTAGGTGCATTCGTGAGCCACGGGGTATGGTGACAACTGGTAAGATTAATATATCCATTGCAATCTACCTCTTTAAAAAAAATTTTTGTGCAAATATTTCCTCCTTCTATAAAAACAGTAAGATCTAAAAAATTAATCCCCACCTTGCTTTGAGTAGAGGTGAGATTAATTCCCCAATCGTTGCAATTTAAAAAACTTAAAAAATTGGTCAATTTCAGATCATCTCCCTTCCAAATAAAAAATATGTCATCAATGTAACGGCGATAGGTGACCAAGTCCGCAAAGAATTCACTATGTAAGATAAATATCTCTTCCCAATACGCCATAAAAAGGTTTGCGTAGCTGGGTGCGAACTTGGTCCCCATCGCCGTTCCATTAACTTGAAGATAAAAACTCTCTTTGAACCAAAAAAAATTATTGGTCAAAATTAGAAATATGCCTTCCTTAATAAAATCTATTTGATCTTGTTTAAAATTGGATTTCTCTAAGAAGTATTGCACAGCCTCTATTCCCTTTGTATGTGGGATTATGCTATAGAGTGAGCTTACATCACACGTGACCAATGTGTAATTTTCTTCCCATTTAATCTCTCCTAGAATCTGTAAGATGTGTATTGTGTCTTTTAGGTACGTCGGATTTTTGATTACTACCGGTTGAAGTAGAACATCTATATATTCTGAGATTCTTGATGAGATGCTTTCTACCCCAGAGATTATAGGTCTTCCTGGTGGGTTGGTTAAATGTTTGTGCATCTTCGGCAAACAATAAAACACAGGAATCTGAGGACTGGAGATAATCAGATATTTGGCTTCTGCCTCTGTTAAAATATCTTTTTCTAATCCTTTATTGATAAAATCTTTAAACTTCATGACGATTTCCTGACTCGGATTGGATATTAGTTTTTTATATGTTTTAGTGTCTGACAATAATCTTTCTGCTTCCCCTACATATTTTTCTTTGGATAGAATGACTACCCCTCCCCCCTTATCAGCAGGTTTTATAATTAAATTGTCATCTTTTTGTAACCTCTTTAGTGTTTTTGTCTCTGCTAATGTAAGATTTTTTTGATATTTGTTTGTATGTTTAATTTTTTTAACCTCTTTCATAATCATGGTTTCAAAGGTTTTAATTTCATTCGAGATCATGTTTCTTGGGAAAAATTTCGATTTTTCTTTTAAATTGCTATGAATATATGGGGAGGTGGTGTTAATTTCTACTGGGTCTCTATTATGAAAAAAAAATTTTAAACATAATTGTCGAGTAAAGCGATTAAGGTCTATAAAAAATTCAAACGGTTTAAAGTCTGCAGACGGAGCAAACTTTAACCCTTTTTGCAAAATCTTTAATTCATCCTGATCCAATTCTTTATCCGAAAGATTGAATATTCCCTTGTTGTCTATATCCGTCCTCGTTTCTCTCTGTTGTAGTTTCTTTCGTCTTCTAACTCTCCTTCTTCCCATGATCTTCTCCTTTTGCCCGGAGAGTCCCATTTCCGTGACTCTTGAAGTTGTTTGCATCTGGATTTGGTTGGACTTTTGTGAAAAGGAGAAGAAATGGGAGAGGTATTCCTATGTTCCAATATCTGAAAGCGATTATAAGTTGATGTGCTATGATCTCTATCTATAGACGGTTTGCGTCTATCCATGCGGAACCCATTTTTATTCTGTGGGAGATTCCTATTCTGCACATTTCTCAATGGACTTGCAACTACTCTACTATAACTTCTAATGTTATTCTCCTTTCTTCCTTCTTGTCTGATTAAATTAGGCTTATGTGTAGAAGTCGCAACATGGTAATTTTCAACTCTACTTTCTTGCTTTTGATCCTCTTTAGTTGTATAGGGTCTTTGGTTCGATATATGGTTTCTCCTTCCACCGATTTCCCTATGTGGATAATATTTATGATTATTGCTTGTTTGGTATTGGTACCTCTGTGAACCTCTATCCTCTGCACCTCTATATCTATAGGCATTGGTCTGATGATGTCTCCATTGACTAGGAGATCGTCCTCTTCTCTGTTTTCTTTGATAACTAAGTGTCCTCCCTCTATTATGTTGGTTAGGTTTTTTCCAATTGGCCAATTTTCGATTGTTACTTCTTACATTCCCTGTTTTATAATCCTCCAGGTCCCTTAGGTATTTATGTTTCTTGGTTTCTATAACTTCTCTTTCTGTTTTATCGATTCTCTTTTTCATTTCTAATATTATCTCATTAAATGTTTCAGGACTAGTGGTTTCACTTAAACCTTCTCTAAATTTCTTTATATCCTCATCTAATTTTATGAGATTTTCAATAAAGGATTAGAAAAAGATATTTTAACAGAGGCAGAAGCCAAATATCTGATTATCTCCAGTCCTCAGATTCCTGTGTTTTATTGTTTGCCGAAGATGCACAAACATTTAACCAACCCACCAGGAAGACCTATAATCTCTGGGGTAGAAAGCATCTCATCAAGAATCTCAGAATATATAGATGTTCTACTTCAGCCGGTAGTAATCAAAAATCCGACGTACCTAAAAGACACAATACACATCTTACAGATTCTAGGAGAGATTAAATGGGAAGAAAATTACACATTGGTCACGTGTGATGTAAGCTCACTCTATAGCATAATCCCACATACAAAGGGAATAGAGGCTGTGCAATACTTCTTAGAGAAATCCAATTTTAAACAAGATCAAATAGATTTTATTAAGGAAGGCATATTTCTAATTTTGACCAATAATTTTTTTTGGTTCAAAGAGAGTTTTTATCTTCAAGTTAATGGAACGGCGATGGGGACCAAGTTCGCACCCAGCTACGCAAACCTTTTTATGGCGTATTGGGAAGAGATATTTATCTTACATAGTGAATTCTTTGCGGACTTGGTCACCTATCGCCGTTACATTGATGACATATTTTTTATTTGGAAGGGAGATGATCTGAAATTGACCAATTTTTTAAGTTTTTTAAATTGCAACGATTGGGGAATTAATCTCACCTCTACTCAAAGCAAGGTGGGGATTAATTTTTTAGATCTTACTGTTTTTATAGAAGGAGGAAATATTTGCACAAAAATTTTTTTTAAAGAGGTAGATTGCAATGGATATATTAATCTTACCAGTTGTCACCATACCCCGTGGCTCACGAATGCACCTAAGGGCCAGTTTATGAGGCTAAAAAGAAATTGTACAAAAGAGGAAGACTTCTCACAACAAACTCAAATTATTAAAAATCAATTCTTAGAAAAAGGATATGAAGAAGAAGACCTCCAAAAGAGTATAGAAGAAATAAAAATATTAGAACGGAAGGAATTATTAATATATAAAAAGAAAAAAACGAGAATAGAGAATAATAAAGACAATATCCCCTTCATTTGCAATTTTTCAGCCAATAATAAGAAAGTAAGGCATGCTGGCACTTATTACAAGATGACCCAATTTTAAAAGAAATATTACCGGAGAGACCTAAAATTGTCCATAGAGGATGTAAAAATATAAAAAATTTCTTAGTAAACAGCAATTTAAATAATCATCAGGCTGAAAATGAGAACTTCCTAACAAAGAATAAAGGATTCTATGGGTGTGGAACATGCCTAGCATGCAGGGAGACCATAAGCAAAAAAAGACACATAAAGAATATAATAGAAATTACTAATAAGGAATTCACAATAAGAGACCAATTGACATGTTTCTCGAAAAATATTATTTATTTATTAATTTGTCCGTGCAATAAAATGTATATAGGGAGGACTATTAGATGCCTCCATGTTAGAATTTCGGAGCATGTGAGAAACATCAAAAAAGGAGTCGATACACATAGTGTTTCCCAACATTTTAAACAATACCATCATCAAAATCCACAAGGGCTTGTGTTTTGTGCACTTAAATTGGTCAAGAAAAATTGGAGGGGTGGAGATTTTATAAAGAAAATTGGAATGGAAGAAATGTCCTTTATTTTTAATTTTAATACCATGGTTCCTCATGGACTAAATTTGGATTTCGAATTATGTCATTTTTTATAGTATAAAGAAATAATTTAATATTTTACAGTTAATGACATTTAATACTGTTTCTTCTCACCCCTCCACCTTTTTTATGCAAGCATTTTTAATTAATATTTTTTAGGGGTACACCATTATAATCTTGCAAATGATAGAGGTAATAATGTTGTCCAATATCAATATAAAAGATGTTGCCTCTTTATGTTACATTATTATCTATTAGCTTCTCTCTCCTATTCCCTATTGATTTTTTTGGACTGGTGATCTAAAGACTTTTGTTACAATTTATAAAGACTATGAAACACATATGGTGCGTTCCACGGCAGAATGCGGAAGTAAATTGACCTGATCGCACTGATTAAGGCTGTGGAACGCATGTGCGTTCCAATGAAGAAAAAGGAAGTGGAACAGTATAACTTTATGACGGACGCACGCGCGCACGCACGTAATTGACGCACGCATGCGCGCACGTACGTGCGTTCCAACTAGTGCGGCGTGCGTTCCACGGAACCAACTTCCGGTCCGACAGATGCCGGCAATTTCATCATTTGGACTTGTATAAAAGAACAAGAGGATATACTACAGACATACCAACTGAGGAAGCCAGTTTAACTGGCGAAACGCGTTTTGGGAGTACTTTGGAATACTTTGGAATTATTCTGAGTATTTTGATTCATTTCTATTTTATTTTATAATACATTTTAAAGTTCAAGCTTTTACTCATTAAAATTTGTTTACACCGTCCTGTGGAGTCTGCAATTCCATTCCTACTCATATGTAAGGAGGAAGACATCAGGAGGAATATAAAGAGGGTGGTGGATCTCCCCTAGAAGATCCTAAGGCGCTTACCACTAGAGCCAAAGTGTTCTTTTGGCTCCACCTTTGTGAGTTACCCATCTCATAGTTTTTTCTTATTCTATTCATTTGTAATTATTGTCTACACTTAGATCTGTTACCATTTATTTACAGATTTTTTGACAATATTTGTCTTCCATATCTTTATATTACTGTTCACACAGGTAATCCAGAGCTCCACTTATATTTTGTTTTATCTGCATGATCTGTGTTGTGGAGGTTAAGGGATTCCTTCACTTAAGTGTCAGAGCCTGTTTTTCACCTTGCTGAGCTTGTGTGCACCATTTTCATTTTGACTAACAAGCTATAGGCTGCCATATGCAAGAAAATCTTAATAGATTAATCAGTGTTTCTCCGGTGTGTACATATTAGATGCATCGCTTACTGTAGTTAGACATGACCATTGCATGGGCTAGTCTGTTAATGACACAGAGTATGTGGGTGTCTAACGCTATCCTATTCAAACAGGAGTATGCATTTACATTTTATATTGACAGTTAAGCTAAGTCTAAGTGAGTCGCTTTAATAAAGTTAACATCAGCTTGTGAGAGTCTGTTAGTTTCAGGAGTCCTCCACCTTAAGTGTGGCTAAAATGTCTACAGTACCGGCGGGCAGGGCCGGATTAACATAGGGGCTGATGGAGCTGCAGCTCCAGGCCCAGGCCCAGGCCCATGGAATAGGCCCATTTAAAAAATATATATATATTTTTTTTTTTTTTGTTTTTTTTTTTAGTTTTGTTTTACCACCTGACTGGTATTTTATTGGCACACCTGATATTTGAGGCTGCCTGGCCGTGCCTGTATTGCACTAATACTGGCAATACAATTACAGGTATTTTTCTCAGTATAAATGGAGATTACTCTGCAATACCAGCACCGGCCAGTAGGGTTCACTGTGTGTGGAGAGAGGCAGGGATAGGAAGTTACAGCATATCCCTCCATGCCTCTCTCTACTACTCACTGATCCATGGGGGAGCAGCTACACAGCACAGAGAGTTCATACAGCAGCTCTACAGCTCTGGGAAGTGAGGGATGGGGGGAAAGGCAGCAGGGACATATGGGGACACTGAGACACTAGGGGACACAGACACTAGGGGACACATGGGGACACAAAAACTTGGGGACACTGGAAAACATGGGGACACTGAAAAACATGGGGACACTGTGAGACATGGGGATGCTGAGACACATGGGGACGCTGTGAGACATAGGGACATTGGGAGACACTGAGACATTGGGACATGGAGACACTAGGGACACAGTATCCCCATGTCTCCCAGTGTCCCCAGGTTCCCCAGCCAGTGTCCCTAGTTTCCCAGTTTCCCCAAGTGTCTCCATGTCTCCCAGCCAGTGTCCTCAGTATCCCCATGTCTCCCAGTGTCCCCAAGTTTTCCAGTGTCTGTGTCCCATGTCTCCCAGTGTGCCTAGTGTCCCCATGTCTCCCAGTGTCCCCACATGTCTCAGTTTCCCCATGTCTCCCAGTGTCCCCATGTCTATGTCCACAAGTGTCCCCATGTCTCCCAGTTTCTTCAAGTGTCTGTTTCCCATCCAGTGTCCCTAGTGTCTCAGTGTCCCCATGTCTACCAGTGTCCCCTAGTCTCCCAGTGTCTGTGTTCCGATGTCTCTCAGTGTCCCTGGTGTCTTAGTGTCCCCAAATGTTTCAGTGTCCCCATGTCTCCCAGTGTCTGTGTCCCTAGTTTCTCAGTGTTCCCATTTCTCCCAGTGTCCCCAAATGTCTGTGTCCCCATGTCTTCTAGTGTCTCCATGTCTCCCAGCGTCCCCCTGTCTGTATCCACAAGTGCCCCTATGTCTCCTAGTGTCCCCAAGTGTCTCAGTGCCCTCATGTCTCCCAGTGTCCCCAAGTGTCTGAGTGTCCCCGGGTCTCTCAGTGTCCCCATGTCTAGTGACACAGGGACACAGTGAGACATGGGGAAACTGGAGGAAATGGGTACACTGAGACACTGGTAGACTAGGGGACCTGGCGACATAGGGACACTGAGACACTGGAAGGCAGGGAGACACTGGGAGCAATCCATCTATAAAGCAGAATCAAACTGTGAGTAGTCTGTTGGTGATTTTACAGAATTTTCTCTTGTGTCACTCCTTGTGATTTACATCATGTGATGTCACGCATAACCAATTAATTATACAAATGATTAAGGCTGGTATTAAGAAAGGTGGTAACCCTAACTATTCTTCACATACTCTTGCTTATAGGAACACTATAGGATCAGGAATACAATCATGTATTCCTGACCCTATTATGTTAAAACCACCATTTGGCCCCCTCTTGCCACCCTAAATCTAGTAAAATCTTATTTGTATTCAAGTCTGCAGCTGCTGGCTCTGCCTCTGAACT